CAAATAATGAAAAAATAATAATAGTATGTCCAAATACCAAAATGTGACAGCATTTAATGTAGTTTATGTGCCCTTTTTATCTTTTAAAGGAAATTGGCATTGAAATATCACCCTGACAAGAATCCTGACAACCCTGAGGCAGTTGATAAGTTTAAAGAGATAAACAATGCCCATGCCATTCTTAACGACCCAACAAAGAGAAATATCTATGACAAGTATGGCTCTCTGGGACTTTATGTGGCTGAACAGTTTGGTGAAGAGAACGTCAACACTTACTTTGTCCTGTCCAGCTGGTGGGCCAAGGTAAGATTGTGTTTCTGGCTGGATTTATACGTTTTAATGTAAGGTTTGAGGTTTAAAATGATTTATTGCTGTGATGCAAAGCTGAATTTTCATTATACATTACTTCAGTGTCACACGATCCTTCAGAAATCATTCGAATATGCTGATTTGGTGTTGAAGAAATATTTCTTCTTATCAATGTTTAAAACAATTGTGCTGCTTAATATTTCTGTAAAAACTTTGATACATGTTTTTCAGGATTTATTGATGAATAGACAGTTCAAATAACAGCATTTATTTGAAATAGAAATGTCTTTACTGTCACTTTTTGTTGATCAATAATTAATGATTAATTAATGAATAATTAATGCATTCTTCCTAAATAAAAGTATAAATTTTTTCATAAAAGAAAAATAAATTCTTACTTACCCCTAACTTTTAGACAGTAATTTATTTTTTAAAGGTGGGGTACGTGATTTCTGGTAGCCAATGTTGATATTTAAAATCACCAAAACAAACACGCCCCTATCCCAAAAGGGTCTCGCCCCTATTTTGATAGTGCCGCCCCACCCGTACGCAACCCAGGCAACAATTAGTTCTGTGAAACAAAGCAAAACCAATGTTACACCGTGTCTACACCGGACGCCAGTGGCGCGGCGGGACAAAATACTATAGAACTCATTATAATCAGTCTCGGCTAATGTCCATCCTGTGCACTGAGCGCTCTCTCCTCCGCATCATGAGTAGACACGCCCCTTACTGCTCATTGGCTACAAGTTTGTTTTGCTATTCGGACAGATTCAGTTTTCTACAGCGTTTTTGAAAAAATGCATACCCCACCTTTAACTCTAATTTGTTGTGTTGCTCTCTGTCTCCCCCTACAGGCTCTGTTTATTTTCTGTGGCCTGGCTACAGGCTGCTACTTCTGCTGTTGCCTGTGCTGTTGTTGTAACTGCTGCTGTGGGAAGTGTAAACCGCGGCCACCTGAGGGACAGGAACAGGAATTCTATGTCTCCCCTGAAGACTTAGAGGCCCAACTGCAGTCCGATGAGAGAGGTTAGATGTGTGTTACATGCCCATAACATGCCACCTTTAAACAGCTATCCCTATTGTCCTCCGGATTCTTTATGTTTAAACCATTATGTCCTGTTAAAATCTTTCTGCAGAGGCAGGTGGAGGTGAGCCCATCGTGATGCAGCCCACGTCTGCCACAGAAACCACCCAGCTAACGTCTGACGGTTACCATACTACTTACCACACTGACACCGGCTTCAATTAAATGCCCCACTCTCTTCACCTCCACCCTGGGGATTGTCTCTCACCACTCTGCATCATCTCTCCAAGAGGAAAAAAAAAATGAATGGAAAGAATCCTTCAACTACAATTAAAAAAAGCCTGTTTTTGAGAGGAGGAAAGCCGAAAGCTGAATTCTTTAGCATATCCTGTCCCTTATTCACGCACCACTTCCATCACCCACACAAGAGTTGCTCACATTCGCCTCACCGTACCGTAGCTTATAAAACGAGCTTAAGAAAAAAGATTAAAAAAGATCCTGTCGTTGACCCTGATCTCTTTGTTGCCTTTGACCTCCGATCTTGCCTTCCGCTCGTTCCCTTGCTCCTCCAGCCAGATTTGCTCGTCGTCCTGTGGCATGCACTGTTCCTTGACTTCGTTTTTGGTATATTTATTGACATGAAATGTTTGTTCCCATTTATAAGTACTTGAGTGTGGTTTAAATTTGACTCTGTGAACTTGCCATAGGTGTTGGAAGACTAGTGCGACTGCGCTGAGAAACAGCAGGAATATATTGCATTTTTAAAATCTCAAATATTCTGTTCGCATACCTCACCAATATTCCTGGTTTACTGCAGAGTTTGAATCTTCCGTGTCCCTGTAGGCAATTTGTTCTGCTTTGTGTCATGAAATTGAGTTCAGTTTTGAAATTAACAGCAACATTCAACGTTAATTGGGTTCTTTGGATTGCTTTGCTTTGTTTATCCATAAGTAGTTCAGAGAGAGATAAAAATGATGCAATTTCTAATATTTCATTCCTTCCTAGTATTTTGCTCATTTACATCTGGGTGTTGGTGTTCCTGTCTTATTCTGAGAACCATTTGTAACAAGCTGAGCCAAACTTAGGACTCTTCTCTATATATGGAATGGATTTAACTGTCATGTCTGTGTAGTGTGTAGGTTGTTCGTTGATGTGCGATAACGTTGGGCTCTTGGCTTTGGTCTTAGTGTTAAGCTCAGTTTGGCCCAGTTGTGTCTCTTTTTTGAACACAATCTAACATAAACTCCCATAGTGTCATATCACAGTGAGTGTGTACTTAAGGTGGAAACTAACAAATGAGACATTTTTATATGGATATACAATCTATACACATCATGTGTATGTACAATATATGTATATTTTGGTCATTTTTATATTTTAGTTGTTGCCGCATATCGTTATTAAGATAACTATTATTGGTGTCTGTGGTGATGGCCTCTTGTGGTCACTTGAGTCTCCCTATGCCAAGATATGCTGTCTATTGTGAGAGAAATGCTTTTATTTTAAAGACATTCATTCCTGAGCGGTAGCCATGTATGATGTTTGTTCCTCCAATTTATTTATTGAAGTGGCAAAGTTTTTTTTTTAACACTACAAGCATCTGGATACATGTTTAAAGTCCAGTCTCTCAAAGCCTGAAATGACAAAATATATATATTATACCTAAATAAAATGAAGCCTGTTTTTAGGACATTTCTGTAATGTGTTTAAATAACAGTAGTGGTCATGGGATTGTTCTCTGCAGTATAAGGATAGAGAGAAATATTCTTAATTGTCATGAGAATAATGCTAAAATCTTAATTGTCTTAAAAACAGGCTTTTTCACAATGAAGCAAATGGAAGACTACGTGAGAGATTTTTTTCTTGGCAGTTTTTGTTAAATTGCAAGTTCGTCAACAAACTTGTAATCCTTGATGTCCTGAAGATTATTTGAGCAGCTAAGGTTTGATGCTACCTGCAAACACTAGCATTTATTTGATTATGTTTCTCCTCTGAGCAGCCTCAGAAATGTGGCATTATCCCTCAGAAGATTAAACTAAACTATTTTTGTGTCATATAGCCTAGTTATGTAATAGGATCCTGAAACTGCATTGTGTTGCTGTTGATTATGTTTATGCTTTGTTTTCAGTGAAATTGTGAATTAGATGGTGTGTATGGCGACATCACCAACAGCTAAACGGATCTGTGTCGCCTCAGTACACATGGTCAGTTCTCTCGTCAAGTATAACTGAAAGTGCTTTAATAACCTTCTTATACCAAACCTGATTTCCTGAATCTGCAATTACAAACACTAAGATGACCATCAATGCCATATTAACTCGTGCTTTTTTACTCTGCCTGCTTACGTGGGCAGGTCTGAATTTTGTTTGTCATCTGTCTGTTTTCATTTTCCATCTTAGCTCTACCTGGAGCCAAATACAAATGTCACCAGCCATGTTCATTCACTTTTTCTAGTTACTTTTCAACGGCCAATAATTTTTCATTGAATTGTTTACATTTCATTATCGAGTACAATGGTATCTTCGGTCACTATCTGCTCTCTTTCTCCTCTCTCTTACTCTCTTTCTCATTCCCTTATTCCAATGCTCTAGATGGTTTTTAATGGATGTTAGCCTCTGTGGTCTTTTTTTCCCTGTGCATTTATCTGTATCAGAACTACACTCGTATAAAGAGTATGGCTTAGTCATTAAAATGTTGGATTTTACGTTGAATGAATACCTTGCTTAAAGAAGAAAAAATAAAACATACTGGAGAAAAATGGTCAGGAAATTGTTGCATATTATGTCTTCAGAAAGAAGAGAAAATGTTTAGTGTAATTATAGTGAAATGGTAATTTTATGCATTTTTTTTATTTATGATCTTATTTTGTCATGTTTATAATGAATTGTCCTTGTTTCAAATGGTATGTTACATGAATTTGACTGAAACTATGCTACACATAGTTCTATAGTGAAGGTCTCTTGTACATACACTGAATTATTAAAAAGCATAATACTAGACCTTTATGTTGTAGCATGGTTATTGTATGACTAAAAGAAAAAAAAACATTTATTTGCTGGTGTAAAATAAATGTTTATGAACATTTGATGTGAGTGTAGTCTTCTTAAAATAAAAACAACAAAATTACTTTTCAGTAAAAAAAAAGAAAAACACTATGAAGGTGAAATGAGAACAAGTGAAGTGGAAAAAAGATATAAATATGATGGATGAGTCAAGTGTGAGAGAATCCCATTCTCTATAGGCTGTATATAAAAATAAAATGAATAAGGAAAACAATTAAAAAGAACAATATTTAATAAACTATATTTTCATTTTTTATGTTTAACCCTTTGCTTTAATTTATTCCTTAATATTATGACCATTGCTGTATTTATGAATGAAGCATTTACCCAAAATTAAATATTAGTGCAATGAAAAACCATCATTTATAGGCTACCATATTATATCTTCAGGGGAAAGTACCAGCAACCAAATCCTTTTACAAATATTTAACAAATATATTTCCAAAAAGTGCAACATAAAAATAGTCTATGTTCTGTATTCTTAGGTAAGAGACATAAACGTGGTACAGGTTGTTTTAAACACTAAATATTAACCATTAAAAAAAAAACTAGTTCGAATTATATTCACAGTGCATAGAAGCGAGCGCAGGGCGTGATGACGTCATATCCGCGCCCCGGAAGCTCAAGCTCGTCGCTGGTTAAAACTAAAGCTTCTTGTGTACGTTGCTGAAGTCAGGGAGGGTCAACTTTCTTTTTTCATCCATCCCAAAATATACGCGGTGACATTTGTTTACACATAGGTAAACGTAATCAAAGATCGTATTTTATCCGAAATGGACTCCTCTGAGCACGGTAAGTGTCTGTGGGTGAGTTTTCTGTGCTTTGAGCAGGTGCAGCGAAGATGCGTGTCTAGTGGGTGGCGCTAATAAAAATTGTAAAACAACTCGTATTTAAAGGGTTATAAAGAGAGTGCCCTATAGGAAAGCCATGAGTATTCATGAAAACCTCCATTTAATAATTTTTCTCAGTTTTAATTGTATTGGATTTAATTGGGTGCACTAAAACTGTCGGCACATTTCATGCCAGGTCTATAATAGATCAGTGCTGTTCGGCCTGACAGCTGAACATGTAGTGTTGACCTAGCTGGAGATACTTAAAACTAGAATTAGATTAAGTACTCTATTTTTAAATAAAAGAAACACAGCTGTAGTTCTTCTTGGCGTCACTGTCTAGATAAGGTCCCTCATGTACAACCCCTGATCCATAATTTGTTTTTTTTTGTTGTTTTTTTTGTCTGTTGGCTCTTCAGTGTCATCTATAGATGTAGCCAGTGGAGGGAATCTACCACCAGGCCTGACAGAAGAGGAGGCAGAAGAGATGCAGGTGGAGCTCACCAAGGTATCACATAGTTCGTCCTCCACCCTGTTACCCCGACAGTTAACCTTCTCACACTCATGGCCATACACAGGGTTTTTGCTTTTTTTGGGGTGTTCAGGCCCTCATCTACATATGTGTGTTTTAAGACATCTGGAAAAAAGTGAACACATGGTGATGAAAAATAGTATTTTGGTTTAAAATGACGAAATTTGAATAGGTAAATGATAACAGAATGATAATAGATTTTTGTATTTTTAAGGTGAACTATGCCTTTAAATTTTGAGCACAGACCAGCCATAAACATTACAATATAGAAAGGTTGCAGACACATAGGGGTTTCTTATTAATAAAAGAAATTTAATGGAATGAAGGAGACGTAGAAAGAAAAATAGTAATTATTGTAATGCATTTGATCTATTTGCGAATATTTTTAATTTAATAGTCTGAATGACTGTGCTAACCACAGCCTAAAAACACACTTGTCAAAGCCACAGGTTTTACCATGTTCTAGTGTAGGTCTGAGGATGAAATGTGAATTTACTAAAAGACTATCAGGAAAGTGTAACCAAGTTATTTTCATTTGCAATATGCACTTTCATTCTTAATTGTAATGTGGTGAAAATAGCTCTGGTTGAATTGTTTGCCTCCCTGAATATTAACAATTTGTATCTTAGCACAGTTGTGAAATATAAATTGCTAAGCAACTTACTTGCATCTCACCTTTTAACCATTAAAACTGAATTCAGCTTAAAGATAAAAGTCATTTTTTTCTTGGTGTTGCATAATTTATTTGCAGCACCAAAGTAAGTAGTTTATTATGTAATTATTTCACTAAAATTTGTATTGTACAAAATACAGAGGTCCGGGCGGGGACAGCAAAGATGGGTTTGGCCTTGCTCACACTTAGAGAAAAATTTGCTGCCGAGATTATATGAAATGTCGTGTTGGTCTTAAAGTCAGATGAGGTGTGGAAGGTATGTGCTAATTGTACTGACGCCTTACTGGGATAGTTGACCCAAAAATTAAAATGATGTCATTGTTTATTCACCCTTATTTTGTTTCAAAGCCTGTGGAACACAATACGAGATGATTTGAGCTTGACAGCCACTGGCCATTCTCTGCTTTTGTGAATAGAAAAGGCTTTGGATATTCTGAACAATATGAAAAGATGAAAAATGAGTTTTTATATGAAATATATTCATGTTTTGGATTTGAAAAGATTTTTTATGTTTCTTTCCGACGTTTAAAAAATATGATTTAAAACATAAAATGTAGTGATGCAGACAAATTTTGGCAAGCAAAAATATTCGTTTTTTTTTTCTCTTTTGGACAAAATAGATTTGGAGGGCTGAAATTACTGACCCAAACAGAATCAGAATCAGAATGAGCTTTATTGCCAGGTATGTTTACACATACGAGGAATTTGTTTTCGTGACAGAAGCTTCCACAGTGTAACAGAATGACAGTGACAGTACAAAAAACACAGATAATAAAAAATAAAAATAAATAAAAAATAGAACAAGTAAA